AATGATTATTTTGCAAATCGATTAACCTGGCAATTATTTTTTCGATCAATCGATTAAAAATTGGATAGCCAAAGGGTTGTTAAAGAAGATTTTCTAAGGAAATTAAACCAGGTGAAACTAAAACATTTTCCACTTAGGGAGTTCTGGATAGAGCATATTGACCAATGAAAACATTTTTTTTACCTTAGATGCAAAATTATGTATTTATTCATTTACATTTTCGGTATAATTACTGGTCTAAGTGGGTCACTCTGTCAGCTAAAGGCATATTTTACAGTCTCTATACTCCAGTTAACGATTAATCGCTTATTTAATTAGCTGACAATTATTTCAATAATCGATCAGGATTAATCTGAAAAATTGTTTCAGCCCTAGGCAGAGCATGCTGGAGTACACAGAATACTTCAACTGTTTGAGGCAGAGAGTACCGCAGTGCTTCCCCCTCCCACCTGTTGCCACACACTGATGGCTAAAAGAACATTTCTACTACTGCAGCTCTTAAGAGCAAAAACTGAAAATAAAAATAGGAATATTTCCAGTAACAAAACAAACAAAACGCCGAACAGCCAGGATGTGGAGGCTTAAAAAAATGTCCCTCATTCCTCCTTTAAAAGTAACATTCTTCTAAAACAACAGTCAGCGGACTACGAGCACAGGCATGTTTTAGGCACCAGACTTCAAGCTGTTAAGCAGAGATCATAATCTAAATCCAATTACCACTTGGTTTACATCTGTATTGTTCTATAATATATAAAGAGAAAACCTAAATTCAACGATACTGAGAAACAGGTCTGCATCACAGCAGCAGATGTAACCATTATCTCTCTGTGTCAAAGAAATAACATTTGCTCAAGATGTATTTTTTGTTCTAGATTTTCACACACTCTGGAACTGTGATAAATTTATACAAACTATTTCTCTCAGAAAATCTAACTGTAGCACATGTCTCGCAGAACTTCATCTTCACAGCGAGACAGAGTTGCAAATCTCAGAAAGAAGGAGCCTAATCTTCTGTTTACAGTAAACTTGCATTTGGAGTTAACATTGTCTGACATACTTTCCACTCTCCCGTGAAACTAGAGCAGCACGACAACACGGCAGCACCGTCGGGTCCAAGTTCAGCCTGCTTGGCAGTAGAAAGAGCGGAGCAGCTCCTTGCAGCTGAGACACACCTCGTAATTATGCAATCCAACTATGTAACTTCATCTCAATCCAAATAAGCGGGATGCAGCAAGCACACGCACGCACACGTTTGTGCACAATCCCATAAAGGAAGCCTTAGTGACCAGCTTCCTTAAACCAAGGCGGTGTGAAAAGAAACACTAAATCCAACACGGAAAACAAAGTGGGAGCCTAGATGATAGGCTGATAGGAAGTGATAGCTGGTTTTAGAGAGGGAGACCATGTGCACTGCTTTCAATCTGCTAACACACTGCGGCACACAGATAAGTACAAGCTGAGCACTCTCGTCTCCGACAGTGAAAAAAAACAGGAAATCTGTATATAAAATAATTTCTAGATAAGATCAATGCATTCCTTAGCGCAGCAGAAAACTCACAAGAGTTTTAACTGGTTGAGAAAAAAACACGGTTGTATCTATACAGAACCCTCAGTTTTGTTAATCTAGCCTGTATGGCAAACACTGCTTTGTAGCAGAAATGAACATCATTAGATCACAGTCAACCTCAGTGTCAATGAAAACTTCTTCACATATTGTGATTCTCCCAGTCAACCCCCATATCAACAGCTTTACAGTTTGCTTAGAGTTTAACTCCTTAGCTGTTTTTGTCCTTAATCTGTACCATTTTATGTTTTATTTTATTTTATATTTATTTTTTACTGTACAGCATTACAAAAAGTTAAAGTTAAAAAACAAACCACTGGACGTTGTTTTCCGAGTTTGAAGAGGTTTTGCTTCCCATCTAGGAAGCTTTCTCAATTCAAAATGTCTGGCTTAGTGTAGAGTCCCAAGGTTTTATATAATAGCCCAACAAAAGCCTTGTAATGGCTTAGAAAACATTTACATTTAAACAGGAAAACCAGCTCCACTCCTTAATAATGGGAGTCGTTGAGGTTGTTATTGGTCTGCAACACCTGATAATGGTCATTCCACTGAAATGGCAGTCGTTAAGGGTCATTGTTGGCCTGGCTGACCTGGGGAGACATTTTGTGCCCCCTGCATAACGATGGGAGTTGATATGGTATTGGGAAGAAATCCACTGTATCCCTTTCAAACCACCTGTCTTCTTTATCTAAAATGTGACATTATGGTCCTCAAATTGTCCTTAAGGTGTATGTGGACAGCACAATCTTGTCTGAAACGTCTTCTTTCCAAAGGAGATAGCCCTTCTATATTGAGCCATGTGTTTGTGGATAGATTGTTTGGTTTCTCCAATATAAAGGTCAGAGCATTACTCACTGCATTGAACTGCATACATCATTCCACTCATCTTAGGTTTGGGGGTTTTGTCTTTAGGATGCACTAGCCTCTGTCTAAGGGTTTTGTTTGTTTGAAATGTACTGGGATTTTTGTATTTGGAGAAAATCCTCTTGAGTTTTTCTGAGACTCCAGCAACATATCGGATGGATGTTTCTGCATTTTATTTTATTACTGTTGTTGTTCTGCGTGTCTTTTGGATTTCCTTGCTGATTATACAAACGCCCAGTTTGGGTTTTCACAGGTTTAGAGAGCATCTTTGATGTGTTTCTGTTCTTTGCATTTCCCTTCTGTTTTAGTAGGGACATGCTCAGCCTACAAAGTGCTACACAGAAAGTTTCTGTGTAGCACTTTGGTCAGCTGTAGTTGTTTGTTTAAGTGCTTAAAAAATGAAATTGGATTGCATTAACATCCACCTAATTTTAAGTAATCCTCGCCTCTTTGCATACCCAAATAGAAAAGCAAATGACTAAGGAACTGCAACTGGATACTGCATCAGTTCAAACATGACTCAAAGTTGTTGTAAATAATAGGTATTTTTTGAAGTAAAAAAAAAAAAAAAAGAAATGCTTGAGAACAGGCATGTTGCGTTGTCTTACATTTATTCTGCATAGTGTCAACCACAACTGCAGAAAATTTTATACCTCTAGGTGTAACAGTTCCAGAGCAATGGGACTTTAAACTGCTGGTGTCACCAGCGTCTCCAAACCTCTCAGAATGTGCCAGATTATGCCAAATTGTGCTTATTGCTTTTACACACACAAAATACCAAAAATTTTTTAAATATTTTTTATTTTTCTAAATTTCCAACTAATTATCTAACCGTGTGCAATGATCCAGTCTTTCATGTGCCTGTGGGCTTTTACAAACCAAGATACAGCAGGGTGAGCTTTACTGAAATTAGCAATGCTTA